ATATATATATATATTTATATATTATTATATATAATATATATAATTATATATTAATATATATATTAATTATATATCTATATATATATATATTATTATATAATTATATATATATATATTATATATAATTAATATATATATATATATATTATTATATAATTATATATATTATATTATTATATATTATATATTATTATTATTATTATATATATATTATTATTATTATTATATAATTAGTCAATGACTCATAAATGCCAGATGTTCTATATCTTCCTCTATTGGGAAGAAAAAGTCTATCTGTGATCAAAAGCATACAACATCCAGTAAAATGATCATTATTACCTATAATTGTGTAGCAATCAACAGGAAGAATTCTGCTTGAAACCATAGCTTTTTAAATAAAAGAAATACATGTGATAAAAACAACTGTATATATTAACATGTTATTTTTCATATACATTTGAGTTCCAACAGTTACTAATATGAGTAATCATTGTACTCCCTCTGACGCCTTATAGTATTTAGCTCATGACAGAAGATCTGTGCCTGTGCCTTTTGGTCACTAGGTGGAACCATTGTTGCTAACCATTACTGCTCGAAGTGATTTATTTTAACTACACCCTTATACAACAAACGATCCTGAAAGAAAACCCATTTTAATGTGTCAGGGGCTGGAGACGTGGATGTGCCAGACGGGATGGAGGTGGACTCTGCATCTGGATTCATGTCCCGGACACTGATGGTCCTCAAAGGCAAAACAAGCCCAGAGACCAGACTCTCTACTGAGGATCTGCAGGTAGTCCGCTCACACCAGCGATTCAGTCTGCCTCACGACTGCAGATAAAACTGCCCCAAATTTGACCATTTATACATACTATACTTGCAATTATATGCAAATTCCTCAGAGGATTCAGTCTTTATTAAAACTTCCTAAAACGTTTATGAATTAGATTTAGACAGACCTGAGCAACCAAGAGATTATACATAATGTGAGGCCACTCTTCAGCTGTCCTATACTTCATCATATTGACACAAGGTTTCCAGTCCAAGAAGCAGCTGTAAAAAAAATAAAAAAATAATTATGACAAGATTATGTAAAACTGCAAGCCCTGACACAACACATCCATACTTGACACAGTTCTGTAATATAACCCAAAGGGATTATAATTAAAATGCAGGTGTAAAATTTGTCCAATCTCATTTGCATACACAAGGAGAACAAAATATTAACACCACCCTTCAGTATAATTCAGTCCAAAACACCAGCCCCACTAACACATTGTCAACACAAACATTATAAGCTTCACAAATTATAGAATTATTTTTTTTACAAGGCTGTCTGATTTGATTGCATTAGTTTGTACATGTATATCTAAAAATGATAAGTCAGTATAAAGTCTCACATGTGAAATGAAGCTTCTTCAATGTGTCTTTAGATGGTAGTGACCAGAGGGGTGGAAGCTATGGAGAAGGTTCTGGGCTGGGACGGAGCGAGGACACTGGCGCTGCTGCAGGCCTGCGAGGCCGAGCTGGCCAGACGGCTCCAGCAGGTTCAGGCTGTGCAGTCCATCAGGAGCAACACGCAGCTGAACAGCAGCTGGCAGCCTGGAGAGAAGAGCATAGAAACTCCAGGCCAAGGCAGCAGCTAGACCGAGGCTTTACCTGAGCAGAGACTGATAAGAAATCACACTACCTGCCTCCGGGTCAGTGAATGAGATTTACCTTGTGGTACTGATAATAATACCAGGATCCATGAATGTTAATAATGTTTGCATAATTTGGCCTAAACTTGCAAACCACTTGAATGCTTTTGCCTCAAGACGAAGCAGAGTGATTTGCACAGTCATGTTTATCAAAGGCCTGTTGGCATCAGATTTCTATTGGCTCCTTATTTTGATGAGTGCCACGCTGTAAAAATAATCACAGATAAACATATCCATGTGAAACTTAAATAGTTCAACATTTTTGGAAATCTGCTTATTTGCTTTCTTGCTGAGAGTTAGATGAGAAGATTGATATTGCTCCCACGTCTGTCTGCCAGCATACAGCTAGCTTAGCCTAGCATAAAGACTGGAAACAGGGAAACAGCTAGCCTGGCTCTTTGTGAAGGTAACATATTCTGCCTCCCAGCACTTCATACATTTACTAATTAACACCTTATATCTTCCTGTAATCTGCTGGTTGCCTGGCAACATCACTGCGATGACAAGCCCCCCCCGTAAAACCGCAATGGTAGAAATACCATAATATGATGAGCGCAGGAACTTTCCACCCAAGGCAAAATACCAAAGTAACTTGTACAGCACTACATTAGAGTGGCATGGAGTGCAGAATCATGCTGAGTAACATTATTTCTGAGATGCAAATGCTGACATTGAATTCTATATTTGTATAAAAGCTAACTTTTCATTAGTAAATGCATCTATTTGAATGAGGTACACAGACAAATGTATCATTCTAACAATAAAGACTCACATAAGATAAAATGTAAATCACTTCATACATGCAAGCCTCACAGGACACATTGTGGCTGACATTGTGGGTAATATTTTGACTATATTTCTGGATGAGAGCTTATTTAAGGCCATCTATTTTATACTATTGTTCAAGTTGTGCATTATTTGTAGTGGTAGTGTGGTGTTAGACGGTGTGTACAATGTGTGTACGTCTGTGTGACTCATAGGTCATGTAGAAGGTAGCTTTTGTCATACCTGTCTCATCATCTGTCTCTTGAACAATGAACACAAATGATGGTGGATTTGAATTTGCAAAAGGATCATATTTTTGTGTTGCAGGGAGAATGAAATGTAATTACCGGCTTGTACTTAAGTATTAGATACAGGGAAAAGTGAGGCATTCATAAAGATTTCCTATTTACTCAGTATTGTGGACTGCATGTAAGGTTAAGCCTCGGTTCAGCACGTTGTAGAAGAGAAAGTAAGATGTGTGAGTTCCCCAACACATTCACAATTTTGTACAAACTGACTAATGTTACAAAGGGAAGTTGTATATGACTGTACAGTATGTGATTTTTTTTTTCTTTTTTAATAAACAGCTCGAACGGTGGGATTTTCTAAAATAAACTAATCCTCAAACTTTGACAGTGCTGTTGTCCCACCTTTTCTTTTATTAATAAATATGAAATGCATGTAGAATAATGCGATGACAAATCTCACTGACAGACAGGATTCTGCATTCTGGAGGCTCTGACTTCTGAAGACTTAAAGGTTAAGTTTGGTATTTTGCAACCTGGACACTATTTTCACATGTTTTGTGTCTGTGACTAATTAGGACAATATTTTTAAAATGTGTCCAGTATTTAGCGATGCAGTCGGCAACAGTTTCTGACATATGGAAAGAATCCCTATTGAGATAATTAAGATCCTTTTTGTTTAACCAGAAACATTGCTATATCATCAAAGACGCTAGACTCCCTTGACAAATAACATAATTTTAGCTGTCTGGTCTACCACTGCCCTGATGGGTTAGTTTATTAGTCTAATTGTGACTTTGGTATTTTTAGCCCTTTAAAGTCACATGACACAAACAAACTGAAACAAAGCAGTGGTAGACCAGCTATCCCCGGGTTCTGCAAGGTAAAATTGCTGTTTTTGTTAAGGGAATCTGTTGTCTTTGACAAGAGCACTATGTTACTCTTTGAAAAAAGGTTTATCTCTGCAGGGATCCTTTCCATAATGCTGTCAGACACAATCTGATCCTGTCAGTGGCAAAAACAAGCACTTTTGTGGACACACTTTAATAGCTGCAGTGTGCTTTCTCAATACTGGACCAATTTAAATTTAAAAAAAATGTTCTACCAATTAGTCACATAGATACAAAACATGGGAAAATAGGGTCCAGTTCCTAAAATACCAAACTTAGCCTTTAATCAAAGTCCAAATATCCTAAAATACTGAAAAATGAATGATTTTCTTTAGTCAGAAATATTATCTCATTCTATATATGTCTCCTAGGTTAGCATATTAGCTGAAAGCGTATTGGCTGCCTGCTGCTGCTAGATATTTTCCAACAGTTTGTTAATGGGTTTCATGGTGTGCGTAATTCCTGTGGAATTGACTCCAACTAAGCTGACCAGGAGTGTGCTAAGGGAGCAGTCGGTTGTGCTATCGTGTGTCACACTCTTGTCTACGTGGATTATATTATGAGTTAACAGTGCTCAGGTAACAACTGCAGGTTTGCTCTGTAAGCACCAACTTGCCCTGAGGACTGTCTGGGCATACTGGAAACAAACCTTATCCAATGTGGTCAGATGACTTTCAGAGACCACATGACCATGTAAGACCTTATGATTCTGTTGGGTTCTAAATGCCAAGGTGATGTATGGGTCAGTATGTACCTTGCCTTGTAGTGGCCTACAAAGTACGTAGCAGCATAACAGTTAAAGTAACATTAACATAATAAGGTTTTAAAAAGGTCACAGAAAGTGTGGTTGGCCTAATTGCAATGGAGAAGATAAAACAAGGGAAACACAAACAGTAAAATATAAATCAACACAAGTGTGTTTCTTTTTCACATTCAGACGTGCTCTTTTGCCCCACTTGTGGGGAACAGATGGAGGAAATGTTAGTGAATTAATGCAAAATTGTCACATGGGAGGCAATTTCATGGGACTGAAGAACCATATAATGACTGTTTTGATAGAGGAGTAGAGCTGGGATTGCTGAGACCAAGCTGCATAATGTATGAAGGTTAAACAACCAGCGTTCAGTGCTTTTTAGACCTGACTTACTGACTGACTTCCAAAATACTTTAAGTTATTATTTTTTGCCAGAGCATTAACATGTATTTCTGTCTTTAGCTAGAAAAGAAAAGAGTGGTTTGCATTTGGCTGCAGTACATTGAGGAATAATTTTTTTTTTAAATGCATGTCTGATCAAATATGGCTTTAAATATGGTGAAGTGTTATGTTCATATATGTTCATATATATTTACAGTATTTTAATAAATGTTTTTTTAAATGTATAAAAATATTAGTCCAAATATCTTGTGAGTTATTCTTTATTTACACAAAATAATAAAAACAAAAACAAAAGTGGTTGAAAAAGGACAGTGCCGCTGAGGTCATAATAGAATCTAACCGAAAAAAGAAATGAAACAATGACAGTTTAATTAGAATGAATTTACTTGAAATCAAAAAGAGACTGCTTCTACTAGCCTCATGGTCAAACACAATATCTAAGCTTTATTGCAAGAAGTATGGTTGTGTTAAGTTGCCACAATGTAAAAGTCACTGTGTAAAATATTGAGATAGCATACAGCCTAACTACACATACAATGTTCAAGTCAACAAGCAATCCGTCTTAAGTTAAAGTAAGGGATTCAGCCTTGGTACTGGTGTACTTTATCATCCATCCCTTGTTTTTCCCACTAGCGTCGGATCTGAATGCAACATGTACTTGGTAACTTCCTGTGTCAATGCGAGCTGGTGGCATTGATCCACAGAAGGGTCCATACTGTTGTCCAGCGGTAGAAATCTTCATCAGTTAAGAAACAGAGATGTTGATTCATTAAATGCCCGACTGATTTATGTCCAGCCAAACTTAAATATGCAGGAAACAACATGGCTATACAGTAAATCACCCAGGGAGGACAAGTCAGTAACAAACTGCCTCCACAAGCATGAGGAGGAATACATTGCTTATTTATTTTCCTGTGCGTGTAATGTTCTGAAGTCACATGACTAACCTTCAACATATCGTATGGACAGGGGACATTTTGGTGTCCTTCTACATCAAAGGGTTCCGGGAAGTTTAGGATTATTCTGAAGCCCTCTGGCAGACGGATGGTGTGGTCACACTGACTCATGGGTGGGTAGGGACTCGGGTAGCCCGGACTGGTCAGAACCCCAGACAGCGAGGTCAACACCTGACTGTGGCATGGCACTGTATGGAAGACAATTAAAACCTTACTTAAACATGGGTATTTTGAGCCATGTTTTAGATATTTTGTCCAGTCCTCAGGGTTCGAGACCCTCATATATTAATTTGAATACTTAATAATAAATAATAATCGACTTGCAACTGCTTTATGGATTATAAAGTACTGGCTATGAAAAAGTGTCATTTGAGACATTTCCAGGCATCATAAACGATGGGATTCATTTAGGTTTGCATTATTGCAAGAGTGCAGATGTTGTTACAGACAAAAACAAATGAGTATTGCAAAGAGGCTGAGTTGCTGTAATTCATATAATTAGTACAATCTGTAAGCAGATAATCATTTTTGCCTATTCATTGGATGATTTGTTTTGTCACCCTTTTTCCTCTGGCAAAGAATAATAATTTAAGGCACATCAACTGGTAATTGTGATTAATTACCTAGTGTCAGTACACTATTAGTGCCGCACACAGGTATCAATTTTTAATGCCGCTATTGAAGTTGCTTTTCCCTTAGGAATCGACAGCAATTAACCCTGCCTTACACCAGCTGGCAGAGATCAACTACTTTATGCATCACTATGCCTTTTCAGCCTGAAATTAGTTAGCACAGCCCAGCTATGATATAATAAAATCCAATCAAGAACACTATCAATGGTGTGCCCTGTGTGAAATGTCAGAAAATAGCTTTTGCGGCAACTGAAATATATGGCCAATATTTGATTGCATCATCAACAAATGCTGTGGAGTTCAAATATGTTGAAGCCAAATACATCAAACAAAAGGGAATGCTCCTTACTGGAAATTGCTTTGCTTTATTTCCATCAATATCTTCTGTGTCTGGTAGTGATCAGCAGTGTATTTAGCTAGAGTATTTACAGAGATCAATATACAGTCAAATGATGTGTGCCTCACTATATAGCTTTTGACTTACTTTGATTGAGTTCAGGTTAACAATCCTCTTGAGCTTTAGTGTGCATGGGTCTTACCTGTGCAGGATCTTTTGTTGTCATGGAGAAGGTATCCCTGTCTGCACGTGCAGTAATATCCACCGATGTAATTGTGGCAAAAATGATCACACACTCTCTCCCCATCTATCTTGGACAGACACTCATCGATGTCTGCTCGAGACAGAAAGGTTAGAGAATGAAAAACAACAGAATAAAAATGTATTTTTCTGTCCATGAACATACTTTAAATAGGGAAAGTGGAATTGTCTTTATCAGACTGCTATAAACCTTAAATGTTCCAAAACTCAATCAGATCATGTATTGTTGATTCCTTTTTTTACTTTGCTATGATAAATAGGAAGAAGTATATGTCAAACTACAATGTAAAGTGCCAATCTATGTTCATATTAACTGTGTTATTACATTTGGATAAGACCATAGTTATATTTATATTAAGTATCTTCTATGTTGCACTTTATTCCATTGTGTGCAATTGTTTTGTCACTGCTGTATTTATGTTTTTTCAAAATCCAAATTTAACATTACTGTACATACCTGTGATGATATAATTATTTCTTTAGAAACTCCACTAAACATTGCTCTGTGTTATTACAGCCACAAAAATGTGTCTGCCTTCTGGCAACAAATGTCACTATTCTACATCACCTTCTGAGGTGTAAAATGCTTGGAAGCCGGTGAATCTGCCCTCGTTAGAGTAGTCACTCCTAAAGACCACTGACATGAGGTTCCCGGCTGACAGGATGACGGTGTTCCTCGGGGTGCTTTCAGAGTTCTTCTCTTCCTCACCGCAGAACCGCAAGGTTTCATTCCCCTCTGCCAAAACCTGGTTTGACAAGGTCAGAGACCTTTTACTGAGTAAGCTACAGACTCCAGCGCAGAATACGGAAGTTGGATACAACATGTACCTGAATGTAGTCATATTCACACTCGTTTGAGGGTTCCATACTAAAGTGGCTGAAGTAGAGTTTGACCCTGTGGCCATCTGGGACAGTGATGTTCCACACTATGTGCTGGTTGTCAGGGTATGGCTGGGGGAAGTTGGGGGATGTGAAGCTGCCATACAACCCTGTCATTTCCACACTCAGCGAGACATAGAAGAGGGAAAATAGGACAAAAACACAGCACCCACTGGGCAAAATTAGGTGTGATGGCAGCAGTTTCAAGGATTATTTTGCACAAATAAATGCTAAGTGACACTCACCTGGTCATGTTGGCTTAACAGTCCCCAGATAATTTGCGTGTTTTGGAATGGTTCACTCTCAGTGATCCGGGGGTAAATGAACCCAGCTGGCCGGCCAACATTTAAGTAAACAAAGTGAGACAGGCACATGATCAGTTTGTCATCGTTCTCCTCCTCCCTCAGTCACAGAAATCTATAAAATGAATGTCAGAATAATTATTCATTCTTCTGCCGTTAAACTCATTTTCTTATTGTTTTATCAGCTCAAATCAGCTTTTACAAGTGGGAAATGATTAGATGAATTTGACACACAACTACAATTTTCGTTATAATTCATTGCAAGCACAGAAAGGAAGATTGATGACTGATCGTACATCACTTTGTTGTCTAAATGATCAAACAAAATTATTTTAAAAAACACCATTTAGAACCTTTTCCTATAGTTTTTCCTCACTTTTTATTGGTAAAAGTGATTGAGTTTAATATTAAAATTAGCATGTAAATAAAACTCAGTTTTCATCTTAAATTAAAATATATTCATGAAAATAGAATATTCAGAATGTTTTTTGTTGAGTTATTCTTTATTTACACAAAATAATAAAAACAAAAACAAAAGTGGTTGAAAAAGGACAGTGCCGCTGAGGTCATAATAGAATCTAACCAAAAAAAGAAATGAAACAATGACAGTTTAATTAGAATGAATTTACTTGAAATCAAAAAGAGACTGCTTCTACTAGCCTCATGGTCAAACAAGATCACCAGGATCACACTTTAGTGCCCTATGAAACTTGTTTAGAGAGTGAAGCTGATCAGACAAGAGTCATTAAGTCAGAGCCTGCTGTCAAGATTACTTAGCAGTAAGGCTGTTAAATAAAAGCCTCAAAAAAATAAATACATTTACCAGCCTGGTCCTTTTGTTTGCATAGGGGTCAGGATGTAGAGGCTGGTTGGTGGTTCAATCCCTTGCTCCTCCTGCCCACATGCGGAATTGTCCTTGGGCAAGACACTTAACCCCAGATTGCATGGCAGCTCTGTCACCATCGGGATGTGTGAATCAGAGCAAATTGTAAAGCGCTTTGCTGTTATGGTAGAAAAGTGCTATAAAAATGCAGTCCATTTACCATAATTACTGTATATGGGACGAAAACAGTCAGTGGTACATCAACAACAGTTCCCCGGTGAATGAAGCCACATCACATTATGTTTTTCTTTTCTTTTTTACATGCCTGTGTCTGCACTGTGCCAAATGCTTTAAGGTCAGACTTCATTGTAAAGGCTTTTATCATGAGGGAGTTCATGACGTCTGTTTTGATAGAATATGGATATTAGAATACAAATGTAATTTAGAAGTGATGGAGCCTTTCAACCAGCAACAGTGGTACGATAAGTAAGCTTGTAATAACCAACCCCCATTTTCGCTAATGCTAAAGCACTAATGGCTAGTATTTGAAGTGAATTACAATAATTATCTACATAAACACCAATGTTAATTTCCCATTGCAAATGACCTCTCTGATGGTACTCTTTTTAAATGGTGCCGTAACCTTTTCCTTTTCGCCGGATTGTGAGTTGGTGGGTTTTTGAGCCTCAGTGGAGTCTGTACTGATGGCAGATGTTCTCCTTTTGGATATCATCCAGCTGCCACTCAGAATCTGATGTTGCAGTGAGATGCACTAATACACAGATTGACTAATGACACCCTGTGACACAAAACAAAGCATTTTTGGAAAATCTTAGGCATACCCTCCAAGAAGCTGCATCACCCCCACTGACTGACATAAACTATTTATTTTTTAGCCTCCAGTGCCATTTGCACAATTGCTTTAAATCTATTCCAACCAGTTTTACTCCTTGGTACAGAGAGATCTTCTTTAAATTCCCTCATGAAAAAATATGTGCTGTATTATAAACGGAATGACAATAATGTTCTAACCTTTTGGCCACGTTTTTTAGACTTACTGTAGCTGCAGACTTGATTGAATTGAATTGTATAGGGGTCAGTGCCCTTGAAATTGAAACATGCTCCTCATATATTTTACCAATACATTTGTGCAAGGACATTATTGTGGGAGGAACACTGCAGCCTCCAGGGGCCAATAGTAGTTCAACTGTTTTCTTTTGTTTGAAGGTGAAACGTAATACCCTTTTTAAAATTTCTTCTACTCATATTTTTATGTTGTATTGTATTAATTATTGTTTCATAACTTCATGACTATGTTCTCCAAAGAAGGATAAAATCAAAATCAAGGGCATCCTTGAAGAGGTTTCATTTCCTCATCCAAGAGACTTCTTAGGTTCTGACTGACTGGTAGGGACAACCACTACCCAAACGCAAGGTTCAACACAAAAGGGCCAACTCCTCCGGTCAAGACTCAGCAGTTTACCTATATCTGAAGTATAAAGGACACTCTTTTGAGGATCACCAGGTGCACATTTTAGACAGAAAGGATGGATAGTTTGAAAGAGGTGTCAAGGAAGCCATTTAAACCTGGGTTGAGAAACCCTCACTTAACAGGTGAGGGGGACTTCTTCAACACCACTTACCCCCTCCAAGTCTCTTGGATTCAAGTATCTTCAACCAAGTCCAGTTGCCCTTGATTTTAACCTTCCTTGGATAACTATGACCAGGATGACTGAGAACTTATCACCTCTGCAACTTATTATTGTTCTACTTTTTATTTTTTTATCAATCAACACTTCAAATTCACTGTCCTTGCTGTTAAGTTCAAATACAAGGTCTCTGTCTCTGTGACCAGGCAAGCAACTGAGCTGTACGCAGTCTCTGATGTGTTGCAAAATACATTAATGCCTCTGTTGTTCTATGTTGTTTCCATGTTTGAACATGCATCATGCCAGTGATATCTTTTAGAGTTCAGGTCTGCCATGCAGGTACATTTAAAAGTCTTCAGGGAGCCTGGGATCGTCCCACTCTCTTTTCTTGTCCGGCAGACGTTGGACCAAGGTCTTAACTTGGGTAGTAAAGGGGACAATATACCTTATAGGGTAATTTTGCCTCACTTGAGTCTTGTAGATACTTTGCATGGCAATCATGGTATCATCAGTGGGGCACTCCTTGTAAGATAACATGTCCAGTGGACAATGCCAATGCAAGCCAAGTGTGGATTCATAGGAGTCTGGTTGGCCATGATTGACCCAAAGGTCACTGCTGTTAGATCTGCCCCATGTTCAACTAGCTGCCTCTCCTCCTGCTCCAGTCACTCACATATGGGAGCCTTTCGAACTAGCCCTGGAGCACTACAATGGGGCTATGAGCACTTGTGGAGACTACCTGACACAATTTTCCCTAGTTTTTGAACAGCTGCCCCTCACATATGCCACAGACCACTGTGGATCAGTGGTATGGGAGAGCCAGTCAGCTGTGTTCCTGTCAAGCCTTCACCATGAAGATGAAAAAGGTTTTTGATCACCCGGTGCATGGAAAAGAAGCTGCCAAATGTTTGTTGTCTCTCCGTCAGGGATCCTGTAACCTGTTATTGGCGGTGGAGTTCTGGACATTGACAGCAGTGAATGCATGGAATGATGATGATGAGGCTTTGCAGTTTTTTTTTTATAAATGTTTAATCTAATACATGGAAGGATTAACTTGTGTCCCGTGACAATCCCACCTCCCTGGATCAACTTACTGTATCTCTATAGCCATCAGGTTGGACAATCGCACACGGGAGTGCTACCAGGAGAAGAATGCTAAACCTTTTAACCATTTAATGGCCTAAAAAGCAGGTAGGCTTTGTAGGCCATTAAATGGTTTTCTAGGATATTAATTGAATACTGTCACCACATCAGATAAAACACTCCACTTTTCCACTTATTGGTTATTCTGCTTGAAGTAAAACAGTAAGCAAATATCCATATCTGCATAATGGCTAGATAAACATACTCTGTAGCAAATTGTCAGTTTAAAACTTTCCCTTCAAAATATATAACAGCTTCTCTCATTTATTCTCACTAGCAGCAACTTAAAATCTGCAATATTAAAGTGGAATAAATGCAGTATTTGTTGCACGTCTCTAAATAGATCTCTATGTTTTTATTTAAACTAATACTAAACTGGTAGGAACTGCATACTAAGCATCATTAGCCTTCATAAAACAGATAATAAAATATACAATTACTAATAGAAAGATTTGGCACGTACACACAGTTACTCGCACACACAACGGCTTCTTAAAACTCCATATGAACTCTTTAACTGCAGAAACTGAGCTACTAAAAGTCCAACTCCCCTGCTCATTGAACACCTGCTTGTTACTATCTCACAAAGCTACCTCAGTGAACAGTCTCAGAATGGTGAAGTTCACATCAGAAAGTCTAGGAGACATTTCCACATGTGATGTTTTGCATGTTTTCTAAAAGACTGTAGAAACAAGAATGAAATTGATCTTTATGTTGAAGTATGAGGTTTATGAGGTTATTTTCTAATCACAAAATTATCTCTTTAAGACAATTCAGTGATAGCTTTCTGGTTAATAAAAATGTGGTTTGTCCAGAAAAGACTGAAAAGTACATTTAAAACATTGCAAATGTTGTTAAGTAGAATTTTCCTTGCGGAAACCATTGTTTTAAGTTTTTCCTTTGCTGAGGGTAATTCTACTTTCTAAATGTCATTTTAGTGATTGGCACTCAAATGCCATAGTTGTAGTAATTAGAAATTGCAAGACAGTCCATCCTTCATAATGTACTGCTTGTTTGTTTTATTGACTGGACACAAAAGGGTGGGTAAAGGACTGTTGCACTGCAGCCTGTTCTAAAATAGAAAAAGTAACCATAGCAATGGTGGCCCTGGGAGTTGCACACTTACAAACTTACTTACACACTTGCAAACCTTGCAAATAGACAAAAAACAAACAAATTAAGAAAAAATCTTCACCAAATTGACAATTTCATGGAAATAGTATATTTTCCAGTGCAGAATTGAACAAACAAATGGATCACAACAAACCGTTGTCTAAAACAAAAAATAAACAAATTAAGAAAACATCTTCACCAATTTGATGACAAAAGCAGCATTTAGAAAACGTCTCGGGTTACGTATGTAACCCTGGTTCCCCGAGAAGGGGAACGAGAGACTGCGTCGGTTACGACACTATGGGAATGCCTCTAGGCGAAGCAGGTCTG